ACTCGATGGTCTTAGCCAGCCTAGAGCTGCCGCTGCCCTACTCGCGTCCGCTGGCGCAAGCATACTGGAAGACGAACTTCGATGGTCTTAATCGAGCCACCAGTAAAGTGGACTGGTGGTTACTGTAGGACTCATCTGCTGAAGTCTGTTGTAAGAGAGGGTGTTGGTTGGTCGCACGTTTCGTACCCCTCAACTAAAGCTGGACAAGTAAAACAACACTGGTTCGACAAAAAGGATGGCAAATCAGTATGGAATAAACTCCACTTGTCTGGTTCTGTCTACGATTATGAGGCCCATAAGAGGCAGCGGCTGTGCAATAGCGCAGAAGCACGGAAGCGAGCTCGCAACTTCAGCGAACTTACGTGAAGCGGCGCCTGAGGCCTGCAGGTGACCAAGCCGTTTGATTGGGCTCAGATGGACAGGCTATGATTTCCAGCGCTGAAAGTGCGCCCGCATTGGCGGCGCACTTCGCCTCCGTATTTACAGATGGACATGCGCATATGCCGAACTTGACGTGTGAAGCTCCTACGGAACTCGAGTGCCTGGATTGCAAAGTGGAAGATGTCCGCAGTCTACTCACCAGTTTTGACGGTACGAAGTCTGCCGCACCCGACGGCTTACATCCGCTAATTTTCAAGTCTCTATCGCCTGTTGTGACTGATCTGTTCAACAGCTCGTCTGAAGGTGCATTGCCGAGCGACTGGAAATGCTCGGTAGTGAAACCGATCCCGAAGGGCGGGGACGCGACTAAAGTGGACAGTTATCGACTGCTTTGCGTGACCTCTATTTTAGCGAAGTGCTCAAGATTGTGAGATAGGGTCTTCTCCAGCTTTTAGCGTCGAAAGACCCAACGTCCGCACAAAACGATTTTATGAAAGGGCACTCCTGCATCACCAACCTGCTGTTGACGCGACACAAATGGTTGCGGGCATTGAACCCGTTGAAATCAATGAATGTTATCTACCCCGATGTCAGTAATGCTTTCGATAAAGTGAATCGTTAGGTCCTGCATCCACAAGCTGAGGATGTGTGGTATTGGTTTGCTCACTGCACTAGTGGATCGGTGACTTACTTATTGAGAGAAAATGGCGGGTGCAAGTGAATGATCACCTAACGGAATGGCACCTGTCTACTAACAGCGTACCCAAAGGCACAGCACTAGGGCCCATTTTGTTCCTGATCCACATCAACGAACTACCTCATATTCTACGGTCGTCTAGTGCATTGGTTGCAAACGAGCTAAAGATTTGGAGCGTTATTGATACACTAGACGGCTGTGACATCCTTCAGCAGAACTTCAACCGCCTGTCCGCCTACGCAGTTTGGCTCATATCTGGTGGGAACACCGTGTGAGCAACGAACGTGTTCGACGCTCGTACAGGAAGAAGAAGCGAACCGCTCAGCACCATTATTTCACGCACCAGGCTCCGATGGCTGGGCCACGTGTTGTGCATGCCAGTCCTCCGACTTCCACGAAGCTCGTTGTTTGGGCACCACGGGTGCGGATAGAAGAAGAGGAGAGGTGGCCAAGCCATGACTTGGTCAAGAGGAATGAAAGCCCTTACTTCGAAGATGGCCTCGGTTGGAACCTCTCGGTCCCATGGTTGGGGGCCGAAGGATGATGAACGTTTGGTTGGATATACTTGTTGACATGGGTAGGAGCAGACCTTAATGGCGTTTGTGCTGTGAGTTCCTTCGTCTATCACCCTCCGCTTATCCTTCCCTCCAACCACGATCTTAATTAATAGGCATTATATGACTTTTTGCGGCACAATAGCCGGCTGTTAGCTCTCCGGAACGATGTCCATCCGTTGCTGGCAATTCAGTAGGCGTACCTCTGTTTTTTTCCTTTTTTGTATTGCGGCACCATAGCTGAGGTGTTTTCCACCTGCAGCTAGCGTGTATAATGATGATGACGCAACCGCCTGCCCCATGTGGTCTGCAAGAGTTGATCTTCCGGTCAAGTCTTCATTTATGAACCTGGGGAGGGATGGTAACAGGCGTATGTACACCATAGCCGACCATCCGCTGCATCGCACAGGCTCCGTAAACGATCTAGGTGTACTTGCACGATGTGATCCGAAGTCCGTTGACAACACGTACAGACAACAGACTGTACGGAAACGGACTACGCTTGATTTGGACACAGACGCAGCTTCTGCACTTGGTATGAAGCGCTTGCCGCTCGTCTTTTCTCTTTCATGACAAGACCACTGCTTGAGTACGGCTCTCCCCTTATTGTCTGATCATAGTAGGTGAGGTGCAGAGACTGGAACGGGTCCAACATGTAGCTACCCGGCTCATCCCCAGTTTACGGAGTATGGTGTACGAGGACCGATGTAGGAAACTAAGGCTTTATACCCTGTCACATCGCCGGCTTCGAGTTGATCTCATTTTGACGCGCCGAATACTGCACCTTGGCCACTTCCCTATGTTGAGGCCGCTGCTGCACGTTCGCGCATCAAGTAGAACACGCGGACACCGATACAAACGAGTGGTAACGGATTTAAAGCGCGTTGCTCACCCTCTATGTTTCGAGGGTTGAGTAGTGAAATATTGGAACAAGTTGCTTCAGACAATAGTCGGGGCGAAATCGGTGTTGGAATTTAAGAGATTCATCGACGCTCACCTTGCGGAGTACAGGTATACGGAGTGTATCGCACCCGGATAAGATGTAGTGCACCTGTAATATGCTGCCTCCGCGCAGGATCAGCGACGTGATTCCGTGCAGGTGCCCGATCTGATTACGACGGAGCAACACATATCTTCTCGCTCTCTAGTTTCAGTATTCACCTCAACTGTTGCTTTATCGCAGTTTACCCTTCTTGGTCCCCTGCGATTTGTCGACAGCATGTACCCAACAATAACCGGACTGAGATATGAGTACATGACGTGTTTCCCACTAGCAATGGCTATTAGAGGTGTTAAAAGGGAGATTTAGGGTTGAGGAATCCGTCAATAATTAGGAAGGGGGCTGATTGCTGAACAATCGGGCTTGGAGTTGTACTGATGCTCAGACCAGGAGAAAGAAGCACGCGAGCTCGTATTGGATCCGCCTTAACTGACGTGGGTTCCGGTGACCAATGGGATGCCAAGTGGTAACATGGTCTTGAGGAATGAAGTCCTTCGGTTGGTGTTTTCCGACTGCCTGGCTGGGATCCGAAAGACGATGGACACGTTTAGTTGGATACACTAGCTGACATGGCGAGGATCCCATCTCAATGGCGCTTGTATTGTGAGTATCTTCGTTCCTCCTTTAGCTTCCCCCTCCAACAACGATCTCAACCCACTGCATGTGATTTTCGCATTATGCTACTTTTTAGTTTTTGTAGTCTGTGTTGTTTAGTCTCTTGTCTTTTTGTATTGCGGCATAGCTGAGGTGTGTTTTTCCCTCCTCTAACTTTGTTGATAATGATGTGACCGAGGTTGGCCCCAAAGTGATTACCGATCCATATGAGTGCTTCAAAATGACCCCGAAATCGGCTAGTACATCAGCTGGACAGTGTTTAGATTTTGACACAAGAGACCCAAGCGATATCTTATGAGAGGCATGGGCGAAATTCACAACAGACGTTCTAATCAGAGTCAGTTACAGACGCGCGGTCTTGTTGCCTCTGGAGATTCGGCTACTGGCGGCTTGAAAATGCTAAGTCCCTCCGGAGTGGATTATGGGCGACATCGAAGTTCTCAAAACCCATAGCTATGTCAATAGTATAGATGAGGTGGAGCTGTAGAGAGCTTGGTTATCAGTCCTAATCCGGTCGGTCCGATAAGCATCGGCGGATTGGTCCGGGACTGTGATTGACGTTTACGACGTCACCTGAGAAACTGCCCTTCGCCGGACTCCTTAAGATCACAGCTCAACATGAACTTCCGACTATCGTCTGTGCCTTGCGAAATTTGCCCACGTTTGTTAAAAAATCTCACGTAATTTTATGCTAGTTCAATTGGCCGGACGATGCTTATATGCTGGAGGTGAAACAATGTTCAGTAAATACAGTAGCCGGTCGTCTCAGAGTCTTCCAAAAATGCACTCGAATTTTCTGATACCGCAAGCCCTGTGGACCACCGATTGGTATCACCAAGGACGTGAATGGCTACCATCAGTGGCACCTGACCACAGCAGTCCTCAAAGCATCACAATGCTACTCTTTTGTGTACACGCTTCGGAGATGGACCACGTTTCCTATAAGGAGTTGCAAGGCGAGATATACCGCTAGCTGACCTGATACAAAGCAAGGAGATGGTAGCCCAGATCTAAAGGACGATTTGGCTCCTTCACTAGGGTAGCTAACGATGGTCTCTTTCCGAACAACCTCAGAGTAGACTGGCAAGTGGCGAGATACAGATTGAAAGGAACACGATGGGAAAAACACGGAGTGGGTGAGTTGTATTCTCCCACTGAGAGAGGGAATTCATTTGAGCGTTCCTATCACTAGGCTAGGACGACCCAAAGAGCACTGTGGAGCAGACCCAACCCACTCCGCACGATCGCTAACCGTTGATCTTGGAAGATTTGCTTCAAAATGGCCAGCGACACCTGTCGCGTGAGGCGGGCGGTTGTAAAATACTGAGAAGTAGTTATGATTCCTGCCATACTTATCGGAGCGTGCTCGTGACGTTTATGTTCTACGGCAATCTAACTGAGCCAGTAGTCGGCAAAGCGTCGATTTTCATGACTGAGATTTAAGTCTAAAAGCGTGTCCACCTCTTTCCATCCTCCTGTGCTCACAGTGCATTTGGAAAATGTCACCATCCAATGTAACTCAATGAAACATTCGAGCCAATGGTGCACCGAAGATCACCGATTCCGCGGCTGTTTGTTTTTTTTCCACACAGTGTGTTTTAGTTAGCGAAAAACTGGTGGCGATTCGTTTTACGATGAAAGTTCTGAGACATGCACCTTAATCAGGGAGACTACAGTGTGTCGTTTCATTGAATATAGAACATCTTGCGAGGTTTTGGTAAGAATGATGCTCTGAATGTGTGCATACGGTATTGAGGACCAAGTCGTTTATTTACAGAACGGTTAGCAAACTGCCACAAAATAGGGAAAAGGGAAAGGCGTATAAACAGAGGGGATCAGATCAGCAACTTTCTCACAGTGAGTCCGTAAATGGCTTTCGTAATCGGTCATGCATGAAGACGGAATGGCTAATCACGATCCGCATCTGGGGCTTTGGCTGTTTGCTTGATCACGACTTTCAGTGCTGACTGAAACTGCGACGAGAGGAGCGTGAACAATCAGTGATATTGCTGAAATTGTGGTGGTGGGTTGACGTCAGCGGTAGTTCACACATGAGAAGTGAATTGCATCAAAAACGCAGCAGCCTGTGGGATCGGTTGTGCACGCACGATGCGTTCACACCGCAGCGCATCACCATTGCAGTGCTGATGGGCTTATGATCTCAATGGGAGGTACTTGGCGAAAGGTTGTTCGAAGGCTTTGGCGATCTGGATCTGCTCGTTGTAAGTACTCATAAATCCGCTTCACGTTCGGCTCCAACATGGGATACACTTCAGGCAACTGGAAGTACGCTTGCGTCGTTGTCTCCAGGGCGCCTTTTAACTGTCCACCACCATTCAAACAACCTGCGACAAAAAGAGCAGAATATGAGATCGCACGCAGGAGCAAATCGATTCGCTTAACACGCCAACCTACAATATTCCAAATTTGCATAATCAGCCGGGTGGGGACACTTCACAATCTGAACAATGTGAACGAAAGGTAGGGGTGCGATAAGTGAACTGGAGAACTTCTTGATTTCGCTTAAAAAGCACAATAACTGAATTCCGATGCCACAAGACACCACTCGATGTCCACTAACACCCTCTGAACAACAATTTAATTTGTGCGCAATACATGTTGATTTGCTTCCCCTGTGAAAAGCTTGAACCTAAAAAGAACAACTTATCAACATTTTCAAAGGGGTGCATTAGTAATGTGAGCTGATGACTTCTGGTGTTTTCGAAAGGCTCAGTCAGACTTAGCCCCCATGCTGTCCTCTAATGATCAGTAATCGTCCGAGTTGGCTTAAGTCATAAGATTTGCAGATTACAAAGACAAGTCGTAACACTGTGACTCAGTCCCATCCTTTACAGGCATAGCAGTGAGGTGGGCCGCACACATGGCGGTCCGTCGCCTTCACCCATCGCTCAGTGGCAGTCGCTGACTTGTAAGTGTAACGTTTATGGGTTCGGATCCGGCGGATGTGCGCTACTGACGTGTCCCAATAGGAAAAAACGGCCGTCCAGCGCTTTCCAGGATATGCGGTGTTTGTCTGGCTGAGTCTAGTGAATCTCCTAAACTACTCTCTAACAATCAATGATAGCCTTAGCAGCATATATATCACCTCGGTTGATGGTGATTTTCACTGGGAGTCAATCCTGTGCTAATGGGACGAAGCGGCCGTTTGACACTTTTTCAGATAATGTGGTGGCTATCTGACTGAGTTTAGATGCGACCAGCCCCTTCAAAAAACGCCCGGTTTAGTCGTCGACGCCTGTTTAACGCCACTGAATCAGTTTTGCCGCCCTCGCCCTGCAAAATTTCGTATCCAAAAAGCAAAACGAGGTTCTCATTGGTAAGCGATGACTGGGCATGCGTAGTGCCACCCGAAGCCAGCAATACTTCGCAAGCAGCAATGATAAGAGGCATGAAAGCATCTCAGGTCTTTAAATCGAAGAGGGGAAATCCCACTCCCATAGAGGAGAACGGAGCTCACTGTGACATTGTATACACAACCTTACGGATCAAGAGAAATTCCCTCCAGTCAACCCAGATGTTAGGGGTTAAAAAACCTATTTCTAGCATTCGCAATACGTAAAGTGGCTTCAGTCGTCTATCGAACGAAATCATCTGAGTATTCTTTTGGGAGAGGCAAGGTACTGTCAGATGTTCGACGGATCCGCAAAAGCATCGTGTGCTTTGACGTGATGCGAATGCCGGATGAGGTGAGTAATTTTGAGAGCACAGTCACCGATGATTGTGCTACCTAATGATGGTCAAACACCAAGACGAACAACGCAAGATAAGGACAGACGACAACTACTTAATTAGTTCATGTATGCAACCAGTGAGAAGCAAGTCTCACGAATGCCCAAGTTGAACAACTATGGTTCGAGCACCGAAAGGCGGCGGATCCAGTTGCCACGACTCACTTCGCCAAATTAACAAAAAGCAACAACGACAAGGAAGGAAGGTTGAACGCAAGTAGAATACAAAAAGAAAATGGAAACAAAGGAGAAGTGTGTTAACCTAATCGGTGTGAAGCGAATATTCAGCTAGATGCAAGAAACCGAGTGAAGTACGCCACATATATGCACGATCCCGAGGTCCCCATTCACGAAGACTACACATATCAGCCAGACCAAGTCTCTCAGTCAATTTCTCCATGTTTCTGTGCCATGTCATGGACTGGCAACCTCGAGGTTTCGCCCAACTTGGTGCAGCTACAGCGTATAATGCACCCCGAGGAAGCCGATCAATGGGTATAAGGAGGACATGACCTAGCCAAAGTAAGCGGTTAACTTTCAGCAAACACTCGAGTGGGACACCAGAAAATTTCTCGCCATAAACCTACTGGTGGACCTCAACATTGCTCACCCGGTGAACAATGCTTCGCATGCACTGGTGGTCAAACACGGCCAAGCGTTTAACGTCTTCACTGCGAACTAGTCTCTGATCCATACAGTAAAACCTGTATTATCGCAGCGTTATACACTGTCAGACTGATATCCCACCGTCTCCATAGATGGTTGAGCCCCTAGAAAGCCACACGGACCTTGTCGATACGCGAAGTGATCTCCTTCGTGATGTGACCACCAGAGGTAAGTGAACCGATCCACCACTTCCAATGGCTGTTCGGTGATAGCTAGAACCGGTGTGTTGGTCCAGTAGTTTGCACACTGAAGGTGCAAAGCACATGCCGAAGCGTGCAGCCCTACACACCAGGCTATTCAGTAGTTTGCATAGCCACTGCGTCAGACCCAAGGAGAGCTACATCGCCAGTATATTCAAGGTTTGTCAGTTGATAACCTAAAAGAACTTCCACTCCTGTAAAGTCTGAAAGAGACGAGTCACTCATGATCATTTCGATGACGAAGTTGCTGGCGAGCCCCACATGTCGTGGGGAATTCAGGAGAAAGCTCTCCGCAGATCTTTCCACGCCCTCATGCGTCACGGTAAAGACTTCAGAATGGAAAGGAGTATTTAAGGCACTCCTTTCAAAATTGGCAGTGACACAAGTTAGCATGATCAACTGAGTCGAATGCCGCTTTCAAGACAAAGAGAACCACAATAGTCGGTCGACTGTATGCGTCTCTGCTCTAAAACTTGGCACAGAGTAAATATGGGATCGATGCAACCACGACCAGGGCAGAAGTCGGCCTGATTTTCAACGGTTCAACTCTCACGTAGACCAGTAAGTCGTCGAAGAACGATACCCACGGGAGCAATGGAAAGAAGGCCAATGTCTCTACGATTCCGTTGATCGTTATTTGAGATGGGCACGACAGCTGAGAGTCGCCACTCTGAGGGCATCTCTTCAGTGTTCCGAATTGTGGTAATCAGAGAAGGAAGTTCAGTTGATAAGAGTCATCAAAGAAGGGGAAAGATCATTGGGTCCATGAGCCTTGTTTCGTTTCAACAAGGCGAGTTCGTCTCGAATCTTTTCCAGAGTGGGAGGTATGACATCAACACCCTACGTCGGTATAGGTGATGCGTAAACTGCAGTCGCATCAGGCCTGTTGAACTGTTATTAAACAATGTTTCACCCAACGCGGCTGAGAATTCATCAACTGTCTATCTCTCTCAATACTTGTCTCACTAACTGATGGCTTCCTCAGGCCCGTGTTCCAGATGAGCTGGAACAATACTCGACTATTCAAAAAAGTGATGGCTTTTCTATCTCACGGGTGCTTGTCCCCCACCAACGTTCCCGGTCAATTGTCAGACTCGTTGTCAATCATCGTTTCAAGGGGCACGCTGAAGCTCAATGCGCAACGTAAATTTAATGACGCCTCAGAAATCCATTCACAGTTCGGACGTCTCGATTCGGGCGTACCAGAGGCCTCAAAAGCATTCTTCATGCACTTGAGACGATCCTGGTAAGCGTTGTACTCACCAACCTCATTTATCACTGACAATTTGTGGGCCAGTTAGTTATGGTATTAGTGAACTGCAGACTGCGAGTTTAAGTTACATTTGAGACGGTTAGAAGTTAGGCGCTTCTTTGAAGTGGAAAGAGTGAACGCCGGGCATGTACGTGCACTAGCGTATGGTCAGAATCCAGACTGGTGATCCACATTGACCAACAGTCTTGAATTGATGTGCGCCATATTTAGCTGATGTCAATATAGTCAATTTGAGTCCAGATCATTGAGGAATTCGATGGGTATCAGGTGACGCAATGTGAACATGTAAGCTGAGAAAGCCGTATGGCCGCTGTGCACAGTTGCGGGAATCGAATGCCATTGTGCGTTCCATATACATCGACTCCGAAGTGGCCGCTCAGGTGCTGTGCAGAGTCCGAAAGGCGACCCACTTAGGCATTCATGTCACCAGCAACAACCACGATGATAGTATTTCTCACTATGCGGAGAAGAGAGCTGATGATAAAAATCGTCTTCTATACCATCGAAACTGTGTTTGGTGGGGGGCATGGACGGCACATTGCCTTCATACGATGCTTATAAACTCCAACAGATGTTCGAAGTCGGAATGCACACATGCAGCTGTACACCCGCATCCTGTCGAGTGGATTGCTTTCATCATTTTTGCTGACGACGATACCAACACCGTGAATACCTTGAGCCATTGACTCGGTATCGCCAGAGACGAGAAGAGTGTAATCATAGTCAGCAGATTCAGAACCAGGGAGTCAAAGATTTGACAGGACGCCATTATCCTGTATGCGTGCTTCGGAAATACAGTACACATTGATACCAAGAAAATGCGGAGTGATGGTTAGTGCTGATTTTTGATCGATCCGACCCAGAGTACGGATGTTAAACGAACCAGTATGAAATGAGATCTTTAGTTTGAGGGACAATCTAAATGCATCGATGGTAGCAGCTGCGAGGCTAGCGACAGTCTCTTGCTTAATAGAGAAAGAGGGGAGAAAAGTGGAAGGAGTATTGTCGACGTGGTCGAGAGGGCAGATGATAATCTTCAGCTGCCCATTACGAAAGTGGAGTTTGAGATGTCTTTGATCCAACAGTCTGGCCCACAAGGTATTTGGGTACGTGGAGATTCGCTTGAGGGATTCCACCAGAAATCTTAGGCCCAATAACCTGACGCACAAGACATTGGGGAGCAAATTCAGCTCAGGGGCGTGATTGCAGAAACATGATGGGGTCTGTCACATAGCATTCGAAGAGTTAGGGTGATCCAAATATGTTTTCCCATCGCAGTATGTTACCCACCTGCGACCCCAGCCAATCGCAGGTGGAAATTGGTGGATTTGCAGCAATTTAACTAGAGGTTACCTGACTTGAGGCGGGCGGTAGCAAACCGTTGAGCACCGCGTTATGCCCTCTCACTGTGAGAAAATGCGTGCTGATCGTGCTCTACGCCGATGCCCGCCCTGTGACCTTAAGGATCACAAGGCTGCCTTGTAATCTGAGGTCGCGGGTTCGAACCTACGTAGAGAGCCGGCAAGTCTTACAGTATCCTTGGTCCACGAGCGACTGGTGGTGCTTGCGCAGCAGTATTCCCGTTTCTTCGAGCTGACAAGTTACAGCTTGTTTTGGATGCCATTTCTCCATTGGCATTTTGTGACCAGTTCATACCCAAACCGCCAAGTATTAAATTTTTAGAGGTCTTTGTATCCAGAAACCTATCTTGGTCTATTCACGTTACCGAAATGTTTTCTAAGGTTAGAGGGTTGTCATTTTATGCTCTTCAACTTAAAGTACTTTCAGTACCCCGTGATTTGATTCGTAGATTTGGCACGGCATGTATACTGCCACATTGGCTCTACTATTCCCCTGTAATCTTTCCTGGATTACACAAAAAGGACTATACATTGATTTTACGGGCCATAAAGCTTATTTCCAGATGCATCGGATTGTCTAGAGAGTCCCTTGTGGATTTTATTGTCAACAAGCATTTAAACGCTTGTACCAGTTTTTCTTCTAAAATTTTAAACGACCCTTTTCATCCACTATATTGTGACCTATCAAAAACATTAGATATTTCCTCTACCCGCTCCAAATTTAAAATTCTATTTTCACGTACAGCAAGCATCTTACCGCAATTCTGGGCTACCGTACCTGTGTCGCTTGCTTGTTGACCCAACTAAAACTATCAGTATGGTACGAAATTATTTTCTCGAGTGATATGTGTAAACATTTTTATGCGTTTTATTTTTTCTGTAACAGTAATTTCATATACACCACCATCGGCATTGATAGTGTAACATGCGGAACATGCACCTACCCGGATGAATAAAGCCTACTTTGATTTTGGCTTTAGTACGGTGTACTGCCCTATCGCCCATTGCAAAGTTTTAAGGTAAAAGGTACGTCGACCTTTCCCTAGCCCTCAAAGTAGATTGTGATAGTGGGTTAGTCTGACCCCTAACCATTGACCTGTTTGGTACGAGTGGCTCTGAAAGTAAAGGGTGACGCACGAAATGTGATACCAGTTGTTTTGTTCATTATACATGTTTTTATCATCAAAATGTTACAAAATTAATTGTATGAGCATGGAAATTTAGTTCAATGTATTATGCGTTCAGTGTGATCACCATTTTGTTTCACAACCTCTTGCAAGCTTCCATGTTTTCCAATGTATCTCGGGTTGCGGACACTTGGCCTGCGCTGTCGGTTCTTCACTACAGAGCCAGTTGTTTCAAAGTGACGATACAACCTGAATAGTCTGTTTACATAGTGCTAATTTTATACCAAAGTGTGCACGAAAACGTCTTTGTGTCGCTACAAAACTCCTCGTTTCTGAAAAAGCCTTGCAACTTTCATCTTCTGTTCAACATTCAATCTGCTCTTATGTGTGTTTGGCGCAAAGAAAATATTCTATACAAACCTCTGGTGACATTACCGAATTTTCCATAAACTAACGTATACGAATGCGAGTTTTCAACATTACAGTTATAATATTACATGTAGAATGAATAAAACAAATGGTATGACATTTCGTGTGCCACCCTGTACTTGGAAAGTGCCACCCAGCGTAGCTCAGTTTGTCGCGGAGGTACGCAAACTATCGCACCATGTTTAGGTCCAGTCCTGTCGCAAAGCAGAGACGGATGCGCAGTGCACCCAATTCACAACTACCAAAACTAATTTGGACCATCAGGGAGAAACGGAACCAGCCTCTTTAGGGGAAATTGGTTTCATACAACATGACAGAGTTGAACTGAGACATAAGCAAGACGCGATGACCGGCGGGCGCCATGTACTCAAAAGACAAGAATAACGATATCAATTAAGTTGGACCGGGTGATGAACTTCAAAATCCACCCGAGTGTTACCTGTCAATCAATTCGAAACAGTGATGATGCCGTTTAACGAACCATCTCTAGCTGACTGAGCAAACGCGCTCATAGTAGTGATGATTGGTGAAGAGGGATCATGAGACGATGGCAGAACTCGTCACTACTTACCTCTGGGGCACGCCATAACTTCCACATAATCGAATGGGAACCGCGCTCGTGATGATTTCGCAGTGGCTTGCCTTTTATAAGCAAGTTTGAGCGGCTGCACGATATTCTGAATATTGCGAAATCCATTCGCCACAGCAAAAGCAAGCAAAGGACTGGGCTCGGCTTTCGTGCTCCGATAGGGTACTCGACTGTTCCGCAGACAGGTCAGAGCCGAACGGGCAGCGTCGCGCTCCTCACAGGAAGCAAACAACAGCATCTCCTGTGCACAAAGCATAAAAGACACAGATGACGATGATAGGTTAACAGATTGGTCATGCTCTCCTCTTGAATGACGACGACCCTAAACGGTGATTTAGCTGAAGATGGATGTAGCTTAAACTCACCTGATGTAACCACTAGCTGTATCACCCCTCATCTATCTGATGCTAAGATTTTGTCACATGTTGGAACCACCTCGTCTCTATGGCAAGTGGGGAAGACGTTGTGCAAAGAGGAGGTGCTAAATGTAGATCAACGGACAACTATAGAACAGTGTGTTCGTAGAACACAGGCCTCAGAAAATCTGAAATCAACATACAAGACTTGGCACGAAGAGCGCAAAGACAGTAAGAATTTCTAGAAAAGGAGAAAGCCCCGCTGTTATTCGGGAATGTTGAAAAAGAAGAAAGTTCAGCAGTACTTTCCACTGATCCTTCGTTATTATACACACTAAGGGGTTGCAAGCGGACTTGGACTTTGCAAGGGCGAGTACCTGAATAATGGGAGGTGGGGGTTGTATGCCCAACGCCGAACCTCACTAGGAGAGGCTAATAAGATGGGTTTTCTCGGAACAGCGAACTTCGGATACAGGAGGGACCCTTGAATTATGCGCATAAATAAGATGGCAAAAAGTATGAACAACATGATCGTAAAACTCAGTTATCGAGGCTGACCTGAATATTCACCGCTAAAGGCGCACATTTGAGATGCGCGCAAATCATTAAGAAGGGTGTATTCCAAAACGACGGAAATCGCCGGTTTCAAATGAACGAGATAGAAGTATCAATGTGCAACCGGCAGTTTGTCATTGCGATGTCATGGTGAACGATGGATCCAAGTTACGAGAGATTAATAAGGCCACGGGCAGCATCATAGTGCCAACTGATGTGTAAAAAAGAACAGCTTGAATGTTCCATCGGACAGCCTAGGCTGCAGCTGTAAATGGCCTTTATGTGCATGCATTTACTGTCAAGTGCTCAAGCCCAAGTCGACACAAAATGCCCCATCGATGATGTGCTGGTTCGCTTAGTCCAACGAAATGTTGAAAGTGGCACTCCACTCCGTTAAAACTTCGCATACCTAGTGATCTTATCATAATTAGGTTCCTACAGTTGAGGGACCCAGTGTACCCTTGCCCCGTTAATGTGCACCGCCTTCGTGTACGAGTGCATCACTGGTGTTAGAATCCGGTGGCACGCTGATCCGCACAGGGTCGAACCGGTGAAATCCAGGCGACTGAGCTCTATGCACCAACACGGAACGACGCGATGATCAAGTGCATTTAAGGGTCCGCATAAAGAAATAAAACGGCCCATTAAGGAATATCTTCCTTGAGGCGAAAGCTGTCATCGACTTCCGTTTATGACAATGCTCAACAGTGCAAGATGTGCTAAGGAAGTGCCGTTGGATTCGAAAATCTATTTAACGATACTCATATTAACGGATGAGAATTAAGTGTTCAGTAGCTAATAAAACGTGCCATAGTATTTCCCCATTGAATTCGTGACCAAAAGGAGAAAACTAAATAAAAACAGTACGCTGGCACACTAAAACCAACGCTCCGTTGCCACGTGACCACCATCGATTGCACGTGAGCGGGGATAATGCGAGGTGACCCGCACAGAACCAGGGGCAGTTGAGTCACTCGACCAAAAAGGGCATTGGAGAAGTTGTCTTGAATGACTCGTCTGAGGTGATCTATCTGTCAAGTGACTGATAAAAATTTTGTGAACAACGACGCAACAGCACGTCTTCCGCTAGCAGTGACGTAACTGCCGATGCTGGGACTGACGAGGCCGAGGTTTATGCCGACTTAACTATTAGGCCCGGTTATCTTCGATGCGAGTGTCAACAACGTCAACTACTCGTCCTGTGCCTACCCCTCGGTTACAGACTCCAGGAGATTCCTACTCGTTGCTGGGCAAGACGAGGTGCACGGTCTTTGCGACAGCACTAAGCTCAAGCACTGGTTTCAGGGAACGAGTTACGGCCAATCCAGCACATTGTGTTAATATGATGCGTACGTCATCCAACACTTTGCACAGGTGTTGGGTGTTGTAGAGATGTTGACCGACTTGAATTGGTCGCACAGTTCCGTTCCGCATGCATTGAGGCGAAATTCCCCCGAGTCTAAATCCGATATAAGGCATATGATTAGTGCATCGTAAGCCATCCATAGTCCTCTTCTATAGGCGCAGGTGCTCTGTAGTGTCACTGACAGAAACACTGAAAACAAATGACGGTAGTCGTAACGAGTCATAAAAGTAACGGAATGCCCTTTTTCGTCAACAAGTGTTTTGAGCATTTGAAATTTGATGCAAGGAGGCAAGACTGGGCAAACGTCCCACCAGTTTTAGCAGCATATTTGTGCACAGTCCCTTAAATATCACATATGAAAGGGAGTATACTGATCTCACTGGTCCGAACTGTAGTGATCGACTAATGAAACCTACGAAACCAAAGGTTGTGTTGGTCTTTAAGGATCAGAATCCGTCTTTCTCTCTAAATCCGGCCAATGAAGTCACTGACCAGCGCCCATCAATTCCCGAATTAGAGTGCCACTCTTACATAGTTCTGTCCCAAATCCCTGCTTGTTAATGGCATCCAGAAGTGTACTAACGGTCGCTTGGGGCTATCCTATCTTCAAAAGAATCTTCGACCGAAAGCCAATCAGCCGTCCATCTACGCGGTACAGTTTGGAGCCAGGCGAGGAGTATAAACTCATGGTGCCGGCCGTTGCAACATTCCCTCTGGCCTATTGATCAAGTGTAGGGTCAACTGATTGAAGTTATGATCCTGAACCCTATGCATCAGAAAGCATGTATTCTCCGATAGTATCACACGACAAATGTGTGAGCATGGTTAAAAACAAATGAGTTTTGGTGTCTTTGAACCTAGTTGACCACAGATCCTGACTTGAGGAGTGCTAACAAAACATTGAGGAGCTGCCATCATCATCATCAACAGCAGTATGTCAGCCATTTGAACTAATGCTTCGCTATCGTACAACCACGGTGACCTGACGAACGAAGAACCACAAGAGGGAAAGAATTTGGAACTTGGAGTAACACTTTAGTGCCCCAAATAAACACTCAGGGCAAAAGCGCCTACACTTTGTCAACAACATACTGTCACAAACAGCTGGCTATCGTTTGTAGGCAGTAGGGGGATTTATTAGGTGTTTGTGTGGATTCGTCGCAGTCATGGCGGTCCGCTGCCGTCGCCCATGGCTCAGTGACATAAGTCGCTAACTCGCAAGAGTATGATCGTGGGTTCGAATCCGGCAGGATTCGGCGGGTGCGCGCTACTGACGAGTCCCAATAGGACGAAACGGCCGTCTAACGCTTTCCTGGATGTGTGGTGGCTGTCTGCCTGTGTCTAACTGCAACGACTCCACTCAAGCTGGCTATCGTGCAAAGGTAAGACGGCATTGGCCAGACAGCTTCATTGCGGCATTCACTATGCCGCGTCATAAGCAGTCATTATCTCGCAGATAACTCAGCGCCAAGCACACTAGACAGGTAATTTGACTAGGAGATGAGAGTAGACGCGCCACTGGTATCGACTGCGAGGCACGTCCTGTGAAGTCTCGAGCCAAGCACAAGGCGTCACGTGGACTCCAGCCTGGAAGGCGAGAAGGATCGAAGGCACCCAGCTTGATCGTCAGTGACTCCATTTCCCACTGCTAAATTAACCTCTGCTCACCTCGAATCTTACGCCAGCCAACATTTGGCAAACAAAACAACACCTTCCTCGGTAATCGATGGCCAGACATACGTAGCACTTGTTCAAGCCAAATCAACTTATTTAGTGGTATCTGTAGTTCTGAGGAACTAGCACGATTATCACTACCTAGTACTCGCCTACGCACATTATTGTTGTGGACAAACTGGTGCCATCCGACACCAGCAATGTTTCGCAGACAACGATGAACAAAAACGTGGAGACGTCGCAGGTCCTCAGATCGGAGGGGCCAAGTCTCACTCCCATAGAGCAGGAAGGCCTTGTAAAGATCAAGGGAAAGCTTACTTCTGATGCCACAAATTCAAGAAGGCAGTTTTCGCTTTTACAGTACGTGAACTGACTTCAGTGCTAACGCGCCCATCGTTCCTGATGCATCTGCCAAGGTAAGTGAATTGATGAACTATCTCCAGTTCAGCGCTATCAAGGTTCAAGTGCTCATCAAGTGGCTAGTGGTCCTGCAACAACAGTTTGCACTTTGATGGTGCGAAGCGCATCCCAAATAATGGAACCACTCTTGAGGGGTTATTCAGGGCTAATTGCGCCACCCCAACACCGTAAAACATCAAGACATAATCAACTAGCTTTCCACCAGGCAGCCTGCCTGCATCGTGAGGCTCCGCAAGGGAGTCCAAGACGAAATTGACGAAAAATGGGGAGATTGGACATCCATGACGAACGCTGCTTGTTGTCGGAAATATAGCTGATAGGTCATCATAGATACTGACAAGGTCTGTCATGTCCGAGAACAGAGCACGTAAAATGTTTGTATATTTCATAGGAACACCTTTCGAACGGAATGCATCAGTCGACTGAGTCGAACGCACTTTTTAAGTCAAGGAACATAGTTATTGTTGGACTGTGGTACGTGTGGCGCTGTTCTAGCATCTGCCACGTAGTGGATTTGTGGTCTATACAGCCCCACTCTGGGCGGAAACCTGCCTGCTCTTCCCTAATCCGGGATTCACGCTACGCAGTGAGGCGACGAACGAGAATTAAGGCTAATGACTTTGTCACCACCGACATTCGGTTAATACCACTGTGGGGAGCATAGTCGACGCGACTGCCCTTCTTGTATATTGCCACCATAATCGATTCACTCCAGTTAGCTGGGATGACCTCTTCCTTCCAAACTTGTTCGAACAGGGAGGTCAGTGCTTTGCACAGTACCTCACCACCATCGTTAAATAGTGCAGGTGCGAGGGAATCCGGGCCATCAACTCGAAAGCGACTAAGGGCTGTGATTGCGTTTCGAACCTT